TCTCTACAAATAACACAAGCCTGGAGGAGTTCTGCTGTGTGGTGGAGTTGCTAATGCTAACAGTTAGCTTCTACTAGCCGAGACGTTCTCTGCTGTTTCCTGGACGCTAAACCAACAACAGCCTTCCCCGTCGTGAGTCCAGATGGGTGAGTCCATGAATGTTAGTGACGGTGTGACGTAGATCTGTCAGGATTTTCTAATCCTAGAGTTTCACCGTCTGTTTTCTATCAGAAGCTAATGCAGGAGGTAGGTGTAGGAGACTATTTTCATGTTCAGCCTGCGTGAAACACTCAGAGTGACCCGTTAGAATCTGAGATAATCATTTAAACAGGTTTTCAGTGAAGTTGGCCTTTAAGGAATTTGCTCCTGAACTGATTTAAATCCAAGAAAAACTTGTTCTAGAAGCTAGTTTGTATTTGACTGATTTCTCTGGATTTTGTGTTATAAAATCAACCTGAAGATTTTGTTTCCTCCTCCAAACCCAAATGGCCCTGACTGCCCTGACGCTGTCATCAGGCAGGTGAAAGGCAGAAGTCTGAAGATCTCCTTACATCTAATATTTTACGTGTGAATGTTCCTCCGAATGACCAGAGCAGATCCTACCCGAGTAAAACTCACAATGAGTCACAGGGTCAAGGGCCTTGAGCAGAAGCGTTCATGTCCTCGTTGTCCTGCACAAGCGCAAATGTAGCAGCAACACGGCGCTTTTTGTAACAAAAGATAAACTATTTGTTTCCAAAACAAAAACCTAGTTTTAACTTCAGTTTCTTCACGAGCGTGTCTGCATGTGGCAGACAACACCAGATGTTTACGGGTGAACCAGCTGTTTAACGCCACTGAGGGAATGGTCGCTGCCACTTCCTTGTCATGACGGCCCCTGTGAATCTCTGAATGATGAAAGACAAATCTAGATCTAAACTAAGCACAACACAGCCGTACTGGACTGATCTCTGATCTCATCAGGGCAGAGAGAGACCTTGACATGTTTTTCTCCCCAGAAGAAGCTACAATGATGTTCTGCTGAGCTGTGGTGGCCTCATGGAGGGGGCCATCGTCTAGCACACTGCTGCTAACCACTTAAACATTCTCCCTCTCCTGATAATAACTTTTTACTCTCTTTGACATTGAATGTGCTACTACTAGTTTACCCGTTTAACAATAGATTCACTAGGATAAATACAATAAAGTTTATCTTTCACCAAATAGAATTTTTACTAAAAAATCACAATGTAACCATAGAAACATTACTTGATGCATGCGTGTGTGTGTGGTGTGTGTGTGTGTGTGTGTATGTGTGTGTGTGTCTGTCTTCTCCATCCCCAGTGAGTCGTGGAGGATGGCTGCTTATACTGAGCCAGGATTCTCTGGAGGTTTTTCCTGTTAAAAGGGAGTTTTCCTCTCCACTGTCGCTGCATGCTTGCTTAGTATGAGGGTTGCTGTAAAGACTCTGACACTAGTCAGTGACTCGATGCAATTTGCTGGGTTCCTTATATAGGAAACGTTTTTTTTTTATTGGCTTAATGAACTGACCTGTATTGGAGTGTTTACTGTGTGAAGTGCCTTGAGACGACTCTTGTCAGGATTTGGTGCTTTATAAATAAACTTGAATTGAATTGAACCTGTAAGGAGCAAACGCAGCAAAGAGAGCGGTGTCTTTTATTTAAAGGTTGTCCAATAAAAAGCTCAAAAAGGCGTTTGAAAAGTGGTAAAGTCCTTCAGTTAGAGCAGTTACAAAGCAGTAACCGACAAGTATTGTAGAAATAAAGCTCGGTCCGAGAAGGGATTGGTGCGATGAGGAATCTATAACTGGGTGGGGGGTGGACTGTGGAAGCCAGTACACGTGTTCTAGTCTACGCTTGTTTGATGAACAATTAGCAGACATCTGTCAGGCTAAAAGGTTGCTTGAAAATGAGATAATCTGGGTGCCGACGTTACACAAATGACATTTTGAATAAAAAGATTTCAGGAGAAGAATTACAGGAAATGAATGAAAAGTGTAGCAAAGCCGGTTGTTGGGTGATGACAGCTGATATCATTTTCTACTGAGTTACAATCAGAGCGCGTTAACCACAAGTCCTGCCCAGCAACTCGATATTCAAGTACATACTCCAGTTCAGGTACTGGAGTGGTCCCTGAAAATGGCCCAGAAGATCTGTCCTTTGGGGCGGCCCACTGACGTGGAGATACGCGCATGCCACCGAAACAAAAACCAGAGCGTAAAAGTGAGTTTTCTACCTAGACTTCTAAACCGTCACAGAAGGAAGGTCATTCCAGAGCTCAGGGCCCCGAGTGTGCTCTGTCCCCCTCAGACCTCAGCCCAGACCTTGGGGCCAGAAGCAGCAGCAAGCTTCAGAACAAAGACAGGAGGGACATTTAGATGTCAAGGGACAAAAGTAGGATTTAAAACCAGGAAACCGTGCTGCCACCGTTGCTGCTGTCGCCGCCGCCGCGGCTGACTCGGTCTGCGTTTTCAAACGTCGTGATCATCGGTGTCGGATCCTTTGTCCTTAAATGTGCTCATGGATGAATGGAGACGTTCTCCTTACCTGACTGATCCTGCAGCATTCCTCCATGTAGTCCTCCAGACTGTCTCTGGTGGCGCTCCGCCTCACAGACTCCGACTTGTCATCTTCATTCATCCTCGTTGAGAATTCCTCCAGAAACTTCTCGTTCTCAGAGCGACTCCTTGCAGTCGGAGATGTAGTCTCCTCAGATTGTCCCTTTTTTTCTCCATCACCTGAAGCTCCGCTCTGGTCCAGGTTGCCGCTGAACTCGTTCCGAGTCTTCTCCGTCACATTTGGGTCGTTTTCTAAGTTGTTTGAACCTTCATCAGAGGAGTTCTGCGTGTTTATAACCAGTTTATCAGGAGAACAAGAAGGTTCAGGGTTCATGTTACAGGAATCACAAGAGGACTCTCGGCTGTGGACCACAAAGCTCTGCTCCGAGCCCGTCGGGGTGGATGGAGAATTAGCTCCACTGGGAAGTTCAACTCCAGAGTCCTCAGATTCAAACTTGAACAACCTCGGAAGCTGAGAGGATGAAAAGATGACCGACAGGTAGTCTGATCCGGACTCGGTCTGAGGCTTTTCTTGGACGTGAGGATTTGCCTCAGATGTTCTGGTGGACTCTGTCATGTCATGTTCAGAAGCTGACCCTGTGGAGATGGAGTCATTTTCACAGAAGTTGTTGAAGATCTTCATTTTGGTCAGGACCACTTCACTTTCCAGGACTGCATCCCTGCCTCCTCTTCCTGTTGGGAAGAGAATTGAGTGAGAAGAGGAGATGGCGTTCACTGAAAGAAACCGTATGACGCAAAACCCGTTGTGGGTTCTGGTTCTCTGAGCTAAGCTCTGGGCTGAAGACGGGTGGGGTGACGGAACCATTTTTAGCAGAGCATCTGTAAAACAATTAAACACCTGCTGCTGACCAAACCTGCAGCGCTCTTACTCTGAAAGGATCTGACTACGTTGTTTTTGGCTTCCAGCCCAGGAACTAGTCTGGTCCGAAAAAGTGTCTCCCATTTAGCTGAGATGCAATTCAGGAGGCAGGGCTGCCAACTTTTGAACATTTCAAAGAGTGAGACGGGGTCATGGGGTTGGGAGCGGACAATTCGCCGACTGTTTTAGAGCGCGGGGGGAGGGATTAATATTGAGACTTTTTGTGCTCTACATTTTATTTATTTATTTATTTCAACTCCGTACGGAAGAAGATTAGAGCCACTGACAAGAAAAAATAAAGAAAAGAAAGAGAATTCTTAATATTTTCTCAGAATTCTGACTTTTAATCTCAGAATTCTGACTTTTAATCTCAGAATTCTGACATTTAATCTCAGAATTCTGACAGGGAATTCTGGGAATAAAGTCAGAATTGTTTTTCTTTTCTTTTTTTCTTTTCAGTGGTCCTAATTCTCTTCCGCACCTCTGACTTTACAGAGGGAACTGACCTTTGTTTAATATAAATTTTCTTTTTGTGAGGAAAATTCAACATCCAACTCCCCTGAACTACTTCACATTATCTATCTATCTATCTATCTATCTATCTATCTATCTATCTATCTATCTATCTATCTATCTATCTATCTATCATCTATCTATCTATCTATCTATCTATCTATCTATCTATCTATCTATCTATCTGGAACGTTTCATGCTGAGACACTTTGAAATGCTAATTCAGAGGATTTTCCTCTAAACCAGAACCTGACTCAATCTGGATGAATAGAAATGATGACTTTGGGAAGTGGACCTCCCGCATGCAGATCCCAAATCGCTCCAAGGAAAACACGCACTTCTCTGAAGTGTAGATCTGATGCTTTCTTCCTCTCAAAGGGAACGCTGAAGGTGGGAATCTCACGGAGACACAACTAAACCTACAGAAAGGGGAATCTGATCAGATTTATTTGGTGTTTATTTTATTGGGAATAATGGGAAGTTGAGAGGGAAGGAACGCGTGCTCAAACAGAGCAGATGTTGAGATGAATGAAAACACCTTCAGTTCTTTAGAGTTTCCATGTGTGACCCACTAAAGTCTGGATCAGCTCTCAAAAGCTCTGGAGCTCCATAAACTCTGTTCCTTACTCCGAGAAGAGGAATCTCGGAGTTTCTGGTTCCAGAACAGCAAACTAAAATAACAGAGAAGCACGGAAGGGAAGAGGTCACGGGAGCAGGAAAGGTACTGCTTAAAGGTAAACAGGTCTGGGTTCTGTTGAAGTCCGACTCCAGTTCTGTTAGTCAGGAGAAGCTTTCTGCGTTTGGACTCGGATGGAGGCAGGAAGTCACACAGGTGGGATCTTCTGAGCATGTTTGCTCTTGTGAAGCAGCAGTAGGTTAATTACAGGCTGAACTCCACCGTGTAATCTGTCTTCTGCTCATTGTGGGACAAACTGCCGTCAGTCCCTTCAATCGTCTCCATGAAGTCACCGCCAGCTGCTCAGGTGTTAGCCTGATCCCTCAGCAACAACATAAACAGGTATTAGATCCTGACTCAGCCTGTTTGCCGTCTACATGCCTGACTAAAAACCCAACATCACAGACCGGCTGCACCCCCTCTCCCAGCTCATCCTAAAACCAGTTCTCCATCTGCTCTTCCCACCACATTCCAGCAGAGCAACAATCAGAGGTCTCAGGTTTAAATCCCACAGCTGGAGGTGAAGCTCAGGCTTCATCCAGATGTTCGCGGGGGTCGGTGAAACATTCCTTTTTACCTGCAGCAGCAGGTAAGTGGCTCACCTGCCACGTGGTCTCCTGGATCTCCAGGAGGTCAATAGCAGGCTACGACACGCTCTGAGCCCAGTGAGCTCTGGGTGGTCAGAACTGGTCTCAGATCAGCTGGAGCTGCAGTTTTAGGAGGAGCTGACATCTGAGTCACGAACTAATCAACATATGATCCTCTTTAACTATTTTTTATTACGTTTAAAACTGTGAAAACATCCATTAAATCTTATTCAGACCTTTTGGACCTGCAGCGCTAAAGGGATTTCCTGGAGTTAACCCAGTAATCTAACTCAAACCTCCATTGGTGTCAAGATTGATGAGCTAACAGCTAGTCTGACAAAAGGGTATCGCTGTCATTTTAAATCCGTTCAATTTTCTAAACCTATCAGTTTATATTTATTCTGGATAATCTCTGGATTTAAAGCTCCTGATGCAGACCCCAGACTAAATCCTGCAGGAACTCTTTCACATGACCCTCGCTGATTTAAGGACAGCTTAGGCTAGCCGTTAGCTTATCAGCTTAAAAGCTATTTCTCCTAACAAAGGCTGCTGAAAATGACTGTCGCGATGAGGGAAGGAGGCTTGGACCCAAAAAGCAGTAACCCAGAGCTACACAGGCAGGAGTGGTTGCAAAAATAAGAACCCTGTATTTAGGAGGAGTTGCTAAAATCCAAAGGGCTGGACTCAAAGCCTTGAATACAAAACACAGAAAGCCAAAACAAAAGCTCAAACTTATGAGCAGGAACTTAAAGAACACGGGAAGAAAACCAGAACAACACTGAGCAAACAATGGACCAACAACCAGTGAGAGACAAGTCAGGGTTTTACACACATGGACTGGGTGATTAGGGAATTGTGCACAAGTGAGACTGATAAACTGAGAGGAGGAGAAGAACAGGGCAGGGCAGGAAACCAGACCTAAATGGGAAAGGAAACAAAAGGAACTAAAGGGAGATACAACCTAGATGATGTAAACATACAGAAAACTATAGAACGGTGAACTGATAAACCTGAAACCAGAAACACTCGGGGTCACATACAGGAACGTAAAGAGACCAGAACCAAAGGAAGAGGAGATCTAATACAGGGGGTCTTAATACTGAAAACGGGTGAACTACACAGGAAGTGAGTGCCTCGGGGGAACATGAGGGAAACCTGGAGGGGGCTCGGGACCAAAAGGACACATTACATGACAATGACTGAGAGGTCCAGACCTCCTTCTGCTACCAGACCTCCTGTCTTCAGGTCCTTCTTCTGCCATTAGACCTCCTCCAGCTACTGGACCTCCATCTGCTACTGGACCTCCTTCAGCTACTGGACCTCCTTCAGCTACTGGATCTCCTTCAGCTACTGGACCTCCTCCTACTGGACCTCCTCCAGCTACTGGACCTCCTTCAGCTAAAAGACCTCCTCCTGCTACTGGACCTCCTCCAGCTACTGGACCTCCTTCAGCTAAAAGACCTCCTCCTGCTACTGGACCTCCTCCAGCTACTGGACCTCCTTCAGCTAAAAGACCTCCTCCTGCTACTGGACCTCCTTCAGCTACTGGACCTCCTCCTACTGGACCTCCTCCAGCTACTGGACCTCCTTCAGCTAAAAGACCTCCTCCTCCTACTGGACCTCCTCCAGCTACTGGACCTCCTTCAGCTAAAAGACCTCCTCCTGCTACTGGACCTCCTCCAGCTACTGGACCTCCTTCAGCTAAAAGACCTCCTCCTGCTGCTGGACCTCCTTCAGCTACTGGACCTCCTTCAGCTACTGGATCTCCTTCAGCTACTGGACCTCCTCCTACTGGACCTCCTCCAGCTACTGGACCTCCTTCAGCTAAAAGACCTCCTCCTCCTACTGGACCTCCTCCAGCTACTGGACCTCCTTCAGCTAAAAGACCTCCTCCTGCTACTGGACCTCCTCCAGCTACTGGACCTCCTTCAGCTAAAAGACCTCCTCCTGCTACTGGACCTCCTCCTACTGGACCTCCTCCAGCTACTGGACCTCCTTCAGCTACTGGACCTCCTCCAGCTACTGAACCTCCTTCAGCTACTGGACCTCCTTCAGCTAAAAGACCTCCTCCAGCTACTGGACCTCCTCCTACTGGACCTCCTCCAGCTAAAAGACCTCCTCCTGCTACTGGACCTCCTCCAGCTACTGGACCTCCTTCAGCTAAAAGACCTCCTCCAGCTACTGGACCTCCTCCTACTGGACCTCCTCCAGCTACTGGACCTCCTTCAGCTACTGGACCTCCTTCAGCTACTGGACCTCCTTCAGCTAAAAGACCTCCTCCACTGGACCTCCTCCTACTGGACCTCCTCCAGCTACTGGACCTCCTTCAGCTAAAAGACCTCCTCCTGCTACTGGACCTCCTCCAGCTACTGGACCTCCTTCAGCTAAAAGACCTCCTCCTGCTACTGGACCTCCTTCAGCTAAAAGACCTCCTCCTGCTACTGGACCTCCTCCAGCTACTGGATCTCCTTCAGCTACTGGACCTCCTCCAGCTACTGGACCTCCTTCAGCTAAAAGACCTCCTCCTGCTACTGGAACTCAACAGTTCTGCTCCATCCCATCAAGCTTCAGATAAGAGAAGAATGTGAGCAGAAGCTCCAAACTCGTCTGACTTGTGGTTGAACTTCTCATATCATAGAAAAGGGAACTGAGAAAATCCTGAGCAGAAAAGAACGTACCAGATTAATTATCAGAACCTTTCAACACCTTTTCCTCTATAAGCTGGAAGACTAAATGAAATTTTCCATCGTTATTTAGTAACTTTTCTGACTGTTTTTCTTGCTTTGATGAACATTTTGTTCCAAGCTGCCATGAGATTCCTTTGGACGTGTGTTTCAGTCCGAAGATAAAACTGTTTAAATATCAGCGTCAACATGAACTACTGATACCTGAGCTGCCTGCATCCTTGAAACCAAACAGAATCTAACCACCAAACACTGCTCTGAAGCATATTTTAGTTATGGCTCATGATGGAGAATTTAACTCCTTGTAGACCATCATCACACATCAAAGCCCTTCTGACCTTAAAGACCAAATTCACTCATGTTTTGTACACATCTGCAGCAGTTTCTTCGTCGTCGTCTTCCTCCGCTTATCCGGGTCCGGGTCGCGGGGGCAGCATCCCAACTAGGGAGCTCCAGACCGTCCTCTCCCTGGCCACCTCCACCAGCTCCTCCGGCAGGACCCCAAGGCGTTCCCGGACCAGATTGGAGATGTAACCTCTCCAACGTGTCCTGGGTTGACCCGGGGCCTCCTGCCGGCAGGACATGCCCGAAACACCTCCCCAGGGAGGCGTCCAGGAGGCATCCTGACCAGATGCCCAAACCACCTCAACTGGCTCCTTTCGATCCGGAGGAGCAGCGGTTCTACTCCGAGTCCCTCCCGAATGTCCGAGCTCCTCACCCTATCTCTAAGGCTGAGCCCGGCCACCCTACGGAAGAAACTCATTTCGGCCGCTTGTATCCGCGATCTCGTTCTTTCGGTCATTACCCAAAGCTCATGACCATAGGTGAGGATTGGGACGTAGATCGACCGGTAAATCGAGAGCCTGGCTTTCTGGCTCAGCTCCCTCTTCCCCACCACAGATCGGCTCAGCGTCCGCATCACTGCAGACGCCGAACCAATCCGCCTGTCGCAGCAGTTTCTTGTATAAATAAACGCTTTATGGGTCAATCTCCGTGGGATTAAGCTCTGGCGCACCTGTTTCAGGAATTTGAGACGAGCAATTAAAAGCCTGGAGGAGTTCTGCTGTTTGGTGGAATTGCTAATCCTAAAGGTTAGCTTCTACTAGCCAAGATGTTCTCTGCTGTTTCCTGGATACTAAGCCAACAACAGCCTTCCCCGTCGTGAGTCCATGAAAGTTAAGTGTGACGTAGATCTGACCCCGTCGTTTCCACGTCTGTTTTCTGTCAGCGGCTAATGCAGGAAATAGAGGTAAAAGACTATTTTCACATTTAATGTAGTGAAACTCAGAAAGACGATCATATTTTTTTAAATTACGGATAAAAAAATGTTTGTCATTGACCTTTCTCTTTAAAGCCTCCAGATGGAGCATCTTCATCAGAAACCTGTCCAGTCCCGTCTACCGCCTCCTCATGAAGGGCAGCAGCCTGTTCATCTATTACTGTTCTACTGCTGCAGAATCCCACTATTAAATAAAGCTGGTTATTATTTGGGTGCTTTATTTATACTTCTCTTATGTGTTTCAGGATTTAAAGGATTAAAACTCGTGTTGGTTTTCTGCTGAGTGTCTGTTCTCCGTGGCTGTTAGCCTCTCCCTCCTGAAGCTGTGATAAAACAATGAGAAGAACTCAGGGAGAGCGTTTTCCTTACAAAGCTCCATTCTTCCCGCGTTGAGAAACACAGCAGTGTGTGTGCTGTCAGAGAGAAGCTACGCCTCTCAGCAGCAACAATGAGCGGATTAACACACACACTCACACACACCAAACATCCGTGGGGTTCTCTCCTGGGCAGGTGAGGGGGCTCGTACTGTAAATAAGCTGGAGAGATATCGGAGTGAGGTTTGACTGAGGAATGTGGAGAAACCCGACGCCAGGATTAGGAAAGAGAAACGAAGCCAAGTGTCCTCAGGGTGGAGTCTGGCGGACGTTCTGCTCTGGTTTTAGGGCCTGGTGTGGAAAACTTACACCCTGACCCCTGACCCCTCACCCTTAACTCTGATGAGAAGTGTAGGAAGCCCTTGGCCAGTGGAGTTTCTCCAGATTGCCGTCCATCTGACGGGTTAAAGACCAAGATAACACTTTTCTGAGACACTGAGTGGAAATGGAGATTAAAGGGGTCAAAGGTCAGCAACAGCACAACAACATAGTGAAGAAGTGATCCTTTTCATCCTGTGGTTATAAACATGTTTGGGTGTTTTTCCTCTGACGCAGCTCCAGGGTGAGCTCAGGGTTCCTGCCAGAAAAACAGCTTCACATCTGGATCAAGGTGATTTCAGCAGGATCTGAAGGAGCTGAGAGGACCAGACCTAAACCTGAGGCGCGTCAGAGCTCGTCTCCTAAATGTTTTACGTTTGGATCATTTCTAGCCAGGTCTGGTTCTGTACTGGGAACACTGGGAGCTGCTAGAGTGCAGCAGCATCACTAGAACATGTTTGTTGGGGACTTTCTGCAGTCTCGTGTTGTTGGAGAACAAAAGCACGCCTCCTTCATGTCTGTTAACTCAGCCACATCACAGCTCTACAGCAGAACGCACATTTTTATGAGCGAAAATCAAAGAAAGAACAAAGGTTTTAAAACTAGGCTGAAGTGTGACACACACACACACACACACACACACACACACACACACACACACACACACACACACACGCTGAGATAAATGCTTTTCAAAAGGGTCCAGATGTGGTTTGGGAAATAAGATGAGATTTGTGGGCTGAGAAACACAAGTGACCCGGTCAGTGATTATTATCATGTTATAACAACAATAATAAAACATCATAATCTGCTTTACCTCTCCTCCATGGAGCCAGGATGGAGAAGGACCTCTGCCAGCTGATGACCAGCCCAGACGTTTTCCTCTTCAAGCTCATCTTGTTAAAATAATCATTAAACATTAACAAAACTAAACAAGTTTGTAGGACAGAAGCTTCCTGAGATTTCTCCTGGTGTTTGACTTGTTCTAACGTCCAGAGAAGCAGGCGGAGGTCCTCCTGGAGCTAGCTCTGACTGGGTCATCACACCCGAGCGTACTGGACTCCAGGAGTGTGTGTGTCTGTGTGTGTGTGTGTGACAGACTGACTCCCCCAGCTCCTCAAGAGGTGTAAAGGGGCGTGGCTTCAGCAGCAGGAGGAGTGGGAGGACAGAGAGAAGCAGGAGGATTAACCCTTTATTGGCCTCAACTAGAAAAAACAAATACTTCATTCAAAATGTTGAAAGTTTTTATTCAAACCTCAGAATGTTTAACTTAAACCTGGATTACCTTATTGTTTTAATCTGTTGATTATTTCTAACATGTCTTCCTTTCAGCATTTTAACGAAGGGTTCATTTTACTTTAATGTTTTGGGAGTTTTGGTAAATAAAGTTGGGTTAAAAACCAAAGAGTTAAAGGGGGAGGAGTTTAAGAACATGTTTTAATGCGAGGTAAAAGTCAGGACAGTAATGGAAAACTCCACAAGGGTGTGAAAATGGAACGCCTCCATATGGTTTAGTTCCTGTTCAGAGCAGAGATGTGCTGTTGTGGCCCGCCCCCCATTAAAGGGTTAAAGCACAAATAAAACACCATCATTCCTGTCACCCTTTACCATTTATTCATACGTTCACACGCTGGTGAGCTCTGACCCTTGGACCAAACATCAGAGGATGCTGTGGTCTCAGGAACCAGCAGTTTATCACTCTTTAGTCTAATCTCAATCTGTAATCTAGAAGTCAGCATATGACCCTGCTGGCTCCAGTTCAGCTGAATTCCAGTCTGAGCTGCAGCTCCTCTTTCTGTCTCCACCCAACGAGGCCCTCTGAGAACATGTGACCTAGAACTGCAGCAGCAGGCAGGTGAACCAAAACCACCAAACCAAACCCCCCCCCACCCCCACCACCCCACACCCACCCACCATCTGCACAGAACAGAATCCACACGAGATGTTTCTAAATATCACATGTTAACCAGAGGTCAAGTTACCCGTTCAGCAGGTCATCAAGGTCTGCAGAAGTCTGTTAATCACCTGCTGATTAAAACCAGGTATGCCGGAGAGGACATGCAGTACGGTGGCCCTGCAGCGTCAAAGGTAATCCACATGCAGATGAGCCAGTTCTGGGACACGCAGCTGCTTCTTGTGCACCGCAGCTGAAAACAGAATTTCCCAGAAGAAACTTCCTGAAGGATTAATGAAGTTCTTCTGAATCTCAAATAAAGAGTTTTGTAACTAAACAATAACTCTGGATGTACAGATATCAGATAAAAACTGATGAAACAGAGTTTTTCTACCTAAAAGAACCACATCTGTCAAAGTTCAGCCCTGAGAAATGCTTCCATGAGCTTCCCTTCATCCTGTTGTTGGGAATTCTGGGAGTGCTTGATGAATCTTGTGTAAAATCATGCTGAAATAAAACAACTCACCTTTCGACTGAGTTTTGACTCAAATGCAGAGAAAGCAGCTGGAACGTTCATCTCCAGGACTTCAGCTTCATGTTGATGACATCAGTCTGATCAGTTGTTTCACCTGGACGGCGAAGAAGCTGCAGGTGATTGTGGACACATTCTGGATGATGTCAGCAGCTCTCTGAAGCTCTTACAGGTAGACTTTGTCTTCATGGTTGTTGGAGAACGAGGAGCTCCTCCCCTCAGAGCCAGAGTTCACGCCACCTCAGCTCTGAAAGCAGACAGTAAAGGTGTTACTGAGGTCATCACACGTGTGTCCCACATGATGCCAAGTGTCTTTTTGGTGTGAGAGAAATGACTTTTCTAGGAGGCAAGCTGTCTGCTGATGGAATTAAGCCAGATGAAAGAAAAAATAGCAGCCATCTCAACCATGCCACGTCTGACAGACAAGAGAGGTGTGCTCAGAGTCTTGGGGATGATGAACTTTGTTGGAAAATTCATACCCAACTTGTCAGTGAGGACATCTGCGCTGGGGGGGGGGGGGGGGGGGGTTTCTCCTTCATGATTCTGTAGACTTCAAGTGGACAGAGAAGCATAAGAAGGAATGGAAGGATTTAAAGACCACACTGACATCTCACCCAGTACTTGCGTATTTTGATCCAACTAAAAGTCTGAAGATCTCGACAGATGCCTCGAAGGATGGACTTGGGGCTGTCTTACTTCAAGCTGATGGGGGGAGCTGGAAGCCAGTTGCTTATGCTTCTAGATCTATGTCCACGGCTGAAGTTAAATATGCACAGGTTGAGAAAGAGTGTCCTGGATTGGCATATGGACTGGAGATTTTTCACTGCTATGTTTATGGTCTGCCTGCATTTACAGTTGAGACAGATCATCGCCCTCTGGTGTCCATCATCAAGAAGAATCTAAATGAATGTCGTCACGGATTCAACGGCTTGTCATGAAATAGCAGAAGTACAACTTTGAACGCAGGCCCAAGATCCTATCATGTAAAGACTGAAGAAGGTCAGGCGCTCAGACGGAATCGTCGCCATCTGCTGAAGAGCAAAGAGACTTTTCAGGAAGGACAATGTGAGGAAGCTATAAATGCTGATGTACCCCATGTAGAGACATTAACTGATGTGTATGATGTTGATGTTTCTCCAGAACCTGCACTGAGGTCACAGCGTACAATCAAACAGCCAGTTAGACATAGTTATGCATAGCAATGTTCTTGTCGTTAATTATAGTTAAGCTTGTTGTTCATACCTCAGAGGAAAGGGGATGTGTTGCTATGTTGTAAAAAGTCAGTTTTACATGAGTGACCAGCAGAGGTCACTGTTTTTTAAAGAGCACATTAGGGCAGCACAAGGAAGAAGACCACAGAAATGTTTGTTTGAGCTGGAGGCTCAGAGACACGAAATGGTCTGCTGTGTGATTCTTCACCAACGCTTAAAGAACAAAACAACTACTATCAATATTAGTACCACTACTACTACTACTATTAGTAATAATATTAGAACTGCTGCTACTATTATTAGTACTACTACCACTACTATCAATATTAGTGCCGCTACTACTACTATTAGTAATAATATTAGAACTGTTGGTACTATTATTAGTACTACTACCACTACTATCAATATTAGTACCACTACTACTACTATCAGTAATAATATCAGAACTGTTGCTACTATTATTAGTACTACTACCACTACTATCAATATTAGTGCCACTACTACTACTATTAGTAATAATATTAGAACTGCCGCTGCTACTATTATTACTACTACCACTACTATCAATATTATTGCCACTACTACTAATAAAATAATTATATTAGAACTGCTGTTACTATTAGTACTACTACCACTACTAGCAATATTAGTACCACTACTACTAATAAAATAATTATATTAGAACTGCTGTTACTATTAGTACTACTACCACTACTATCAATAGTAGTACCTCTATTAGTACTACTACCACTACTATCAATATTAGCACCACTACTACTATTAGTACCACTACTTGTGGTATTAGTACTATTACTATTAATAAAATTAGAACTGCTGCTACTATTATTAGTACCACTACTACTACCATTAGTAATAATATTAGAACTGCTGCTACTACTATTAGTACTACTATCAATATTAGCACCACTACTATTAGTAATAATATTAGATCTGCTGCTACTACTATTACTACTACTACCACTACCAATAATATTAGTACCACTACCACTATTAATAAAATAATTTTAGAACTGCTGCTACTACTATTAGTACTACTACCACTACTATCGAAAATGAGATGTTACATCTCAAGCAGTTTATCTTCCTGAAAAATGTAAGTTAATAAATGAATAAATATTAATAGTAGTACTACTACCATTATTAATATGAGACATCTGTAGATTTACCTGCAGGACAAAGAACTGATGGATTCTCCGACATCCAAACTCCAAATGTAACTTACAAAAATGACCAAATCAAACATCTTATAAATGAATTTATTGACCCAAAAACCACAAAAGACAAAACAAAGTGAAAATAATAACAAAGGAGCAGAAATCTGACGGTTAGCGTCTGGTCGGCCTTTTCTTGAGTCGGAGCGGAGACTCGACGTTCCACAGCCGTGACGCTCCAGCTCTGGAAAACAAACGCTCTGATTTAAAAACAAACAATAATAAAAATCATTTTAGTAAAGACTAAAAAAACTGGCTCCAGCGTTTATAGGAAACTTTATGCACATTTCAAAATAAGAGTCTGGAGAGAAAATAGACGAGTAACTAATTAAATATTTATGAATTTTCTGATTATTTAAATGCAAACTCACTCGTCAGTCCTGAAACATAAACGAAAAGTTGAAATAAACAAAAGATATAAACAGAGGAGCCTTTACTGTAATTAATACAACTAAACTTATTTATGTATGGCGAGCCAAATGTCACACAATGCAAGCAATAACAAAGTATTAAATATTTCTTGTGCATCAATAATTTAATAAACTAAAATAAGAATAAAATTTATGTTTATAGTTATGAAGAAAATATTTATTTATAAAAATCACATCTAATTGTTTTATGTTTCTGTTTGGAGTGAAAGGGCGGGGCTAAGGCTGGTGACATTGGGTGTGTCCGAATCCACGGGTAGGATGCTTGTGAGGACGGGTCCTCGCTAGACCGCTAAGACCGGAACCCAGCGGCTCTGAAATCGAACAGTCTAGCCTTCACCTCTACGGTGGTCCGTAGGTCCGTCACAGCCGTGGCGGTGTTGGTACAGGATCTGCTCGGGTGCAGGATCGGCTCGGGGTCCTTCGACTGCCGATGACGTCAAAGTAGTTGATTGGCTGAACATGAAGCTTACGGAAGTTACTTTATCACATTATGATTTTGATTGGTCAGAACAAATTTGCGGTCGTAGTCTTAGCGGTTGTAGTCCTGTAGTCCAAAAATCAACACTTATTGGGGAAAATATGTTTGAATTTCTAAAGGAAATGTAAAATATAAGCAAATGATACACGGTGACCCTCAAAAGCTCTTGATGTTGATGAAATGGGGCAAAATAAAATATAAGAACTTTATTGAAAGACACCAAGCAATATTTTGAGTCAAAGAATGTATTTAGATAACAACTAAGGAAATATACAGACAAACTCCACATTAATACAGATATGGGTTCACATAGAAGAACTGTTCTATTTTTTGTCAGTCCGATGTTGGTTTTATGCAGTTTCACATTCTTTACAAAACAAAGATAATGTGGTGTTTTATTAACAAATTACAATTATAAAGAAAACATTTAGGTGTTAAAAAACAAGAATTTATTAACAAAACTGCTGATGTCTTTCCAAAACGTGTGTGTGAAAGCCGAGTAGGTTTGCAGTAATGTGACGTCATCGGCAGTCGAAGGACCCCGAGCCCATCCCGCACCCGAGCATATCCTGTACCGACAGCGGCAGCTACATGCAAAGGAAAAATGCTAAAGCTAGCGAAAATGGAGCAGGAATATTAAGGAGCTAGAGCAGCTTCACCTCCATCAGCAGCGTTTGTTCACAACCGTTTTCAGGTAAAGTAACTTTGTTTATTCTAGAAGTTTTCAGGACTTACATGTTAACTTTAGATGGTTTCATGTATGTTTTAATCAGAGGTGGAAAGAGTACTAAAATTTCCTACTTAAGTACGAGTACCAGTACTTTGATAATTTTTTACTCAAGTACAAGTAAAAGTACTTGCCTACATTTTTACTCAAGTAAAAGTATTGTAAATAAAATGTACTCAAAGTAAAAGTTACTTAGTTACATTTTTGTTGGCGTAAAAATGGTTACATCAGTGCAAAATCACAACACCAGTTCACAACACGCTCGTGTGTGCACGCACACACACACGGACACACACACAGTTTGGAGGGATTTCTGTCAGTGAGAACAGGACGTGCACATTGATTGGACGAGGTTTGTCTAGGCTTGTATGTTTCAGTTGTGATTAAAATTATTCTTTATTCTGGAAAAAGAAAAAAGTTAATTTTTAGATGCCATCAGTATGTGAGGTATATCAATGTTCTCATGACAAAACTCTAACAAGAGACTGCGCTCTAACCTGTCACATAACAAGCTAAATGAAAGTCAACCATTTCAGATGGACCGTATGACAGCTGCTAACGTTGGCCCTGCCCTACTTTACCTCTACATTACAGTTCCTTTATCCATGTCCATCCTAGAGCTCCTCTCTGACCTCCATGCTTATTTAGAGCAGCTGATTTTTAAAGTTAGCAGAGTTCATCCTTGGTGGTGGGTTCACTCACTCATTTAACCCTTCACCACTGAAATCAGTTTGTTCAGCCCAATCCTCCTAAATAATCCTCTAATCATCCATCTGGAATCCTTAAGGGTCCCGTAACATCCATCCTGTCAGAACAGGCCTTGGGAGCCCAGGTGTTACTAGAACTAACGGTGTCTCCTCACCAGCGTGAGCCTCCAAACTGTGAAGGTTGGTCTCCAAACATGAACTTTAAATTTATGCATTTATCTCCTCTTGTAACACTTTAACATGTTTTAAAAGGCTTGTATCATGATAAGTTACACCTCCCAGACCAAAGATAGGTCCAATATAAGACAAAACATTATCATAAACACTGCAGAGACGTCATTATTTATGAAATATACGTTATTTCCCTGAGCCATTACTTCAGCCAAGATATAAGATGCATGGATTTGATGAAACCACGCTGTCTCATGCAGTCCTATATGTGTAACACACACACACACACACACACACACACACACACACACACACACACACACACACACACACACACACACACACACACACACACACACACACACACACACACACACACACACACACACACACACACACACACACACACACACACACACACACACACACACAGGAATAACTGGGACCTGCGAGACAAACTGGTTCTGGCTGATTTCTGCCTAAAATGTAATCAAAAAACAAATACCGTAAATCCTCTAATACAGGCCCGAGCCTGTATTTGACTCAAGCTCATCAAGCTCCAGGCCTTTATTGGAAGGAGGGCCAGTATTAGAGGCAGGCCTCTATTTCTATTTGAGCAAAATGAACTAATGGTTCGCTGGAGTTTTTGACAATTAAAATTGCGCCCACATTTTCAAAGTTAACACATTTCTTTTAACAACGGTAGTTTCTGCTTCAGCCATCTCCCCCCTCCCCCTGTGCAGCAGCCGCAAACTCACTGATGCGCCTGCAGCCTCTCGGAGTTCCTGCTGCTCTAAACATTAAAATAATTATTTCATTTTCTGTTCCTCACTTCTGATTACCTTCAATGGTGTCTGTTTGTTGCAACCAGCAGGTACAAAAACTAACTTGTTTCTATCTGACTATTTTTCTGTCCTGTATCTGTTTATTATCTTCCTGCATCTCCTCTCAATCCTAAAGAGAAACTGCTACCTGGGTTCATATATATTCACCTCATGAGTTACCTTTGAACTGCAGTTCTAAAAGATCTACCGACCGCAAAAACAGCGGAGCGCTCGCTGTTTGGCGGCCGTATCAGTGATCAGTGCGTCGGAGGACAAGGTGATGCGTGCAGGCGCCCCGCTCCACAGCATGCAGCGAAACGCATCAGGCGCAAATAAAAGACAGAAAACATTAAAGGAAATGAACTGACATGAACGATCGCGTGTTAAATTAGTTTTTGAGGTGGCGACACCTGATTGTTACTGTGGCCGTGCTCAGGAGGCAGATCTACCGACCGCGAAAACAGCGGAGCGCTCCCTGCTTGGAGGCCGCATCAGTGATCTGTGCGTCGGAGGACAGGGTGAAGCGCCCCGCTCCACAGCAGCGATACACATCAGGCGCAAATAAAAGACAGAAAACATTAAAGGAAATGAACCGACATGAACGATCGCGTGTCAGTACCTACGGTCTGGCACAGCGCGTTGCCCCCCCCGAGCGCAGGAGCTTGTCACCTGCTGATAGCAGGCTGCTGTCTTTTCCGAGGGCTGCATCTTGCCGGTCATTATCACGTGACAGCGACTAGTCGACGACAAGCATAAAAAGTCACTATAGTGAAGTTGACTAGTTCATACACCCCCTACTGCTGCTCCCCAGAGTGTTCTGCAGCATAATCAGCACGTTCTCTTTGAACTTGATAGTGTAATGACCTGGCTGGGGTTGTAAGCCAGGTGCATTCTGGGTATTGTGTTATATGTGTTTCCTATCGTTCTGCTAGTTCCTATGTGTTGATTTGCGTGTTGTGTGAGTGTTATGTAAGCCACAGGGAAGGTGATGTGTGTTCTGTGGAGCGGGTTGAATTAGCATGGTTAACTGACACCGTGACTCTGTGTGGTAGGAGCGTGATAGAGGATCGTGTCTGTAGCGTTACAAAGGGTTGAAGAAAAAGCCCAATAAAGGTCTGTGTGAACCTCTATTGCCTCCTGCTGGTTGATTTGGGGACTATAACCCTGCCGCTGAGACGCTCATACTTGCTTGTTACCACGTTCCACCCGGCCACAATAAGAGACCGGCCATTATTTACCTCCGCTGACTCCGACACCGGCCAAAATTGGAGACCCGGCCTTTAATTGAATACCGGCCTGTATTGGAGGATTTACGGTATACAAACAAAAAATATCTATAAACTGAACCGCTTTAAGCTTTTTAGGTTTCTACGGCTAGTTTTTAACAAACTTACGTTTAAAACTTCGTAGCTCTCCCCATTTTGTCTTCCTGTTGAAAATCCACAGCCGGCGTGCAAAGCATGCTGGGATAGCCTTGTTCTGTGAGGCGACAACAGACCCGTCCTCGAAATGTGGGCGGAGCGAGGACGCGTTTGAGGACGCGAGAATGAGTATTCTTAGAATTCCGACAGTACTCGACGCTGCGCTTTGACGTCATCGACCTCAAAATGCTCTTTTACAAGCATCCTTCCCGTGGATTCGGACACACCCATTGATTGATCTGTTCTTGTCCAACATGGCGTCTTCCTTAATGGAGGATTCCTGACCAGTTAGTGAGAGGTGATTTAAACCAGACAGAGAAAAGTGTGTGTGTGTGTGTGTGCGTGTGTGTGGGTTCCACTGACCGCGGCTCCTCTGAGCTTACATCAAGAACCTCGCGGCTCCCCGCAGCAACTGTGGAGACAAACGTTTCTGGTTAGAACCGGTGAGCTGATGATGTCACCACAGAGACTCGTGATGGTTAGAGCTCGTACTCGACGCCGGGTCACTCAGGATGGTGCTGAGGCCTTCGTTAAACGTCAGAGTCAGCCTGGTTCCTGCATCAGAGGAGAAAAATGTTTATTCAGTCGGATGTGTTCCTGAACTTCTTCTAATCCTTCTGCTAATATTTAAACTGAAGTCTGAGGAACCCGTTCAGAGATTAAAGCTGTTCTAGAGTTTTCCAGGAAAACATTAATATGAACCCTAGTGATGGGGGGTTTATATTAGGAGGGGTGTGTGGACTCCTACCATCAGGGGTGCTGAAGGCTCGGTTGTTTATGGCTCTTGTAGTCATGCCTGAAAATGAAAGCAGACCTGTGAAAATACAACCATTCATCCATTCATCCACACATCCCCATTAGGACACAGGTTTTGTCACCGGGCTGAACAGCTGCGTGAGAAGATATCCACACCTGGTTCACAGAAACTTTGATGGGATTTTAAACACCTGCAGATGCATTGAACTGCATTTAGAAACACATGAATAACGACCCTTAAGCCTAATTTATGCTTCATCAGCGGGGGTGCAGCACTCTGACAGACATGCCCAGTTTTAAACATGACAAATGAACAGAGAACACAAGCCTGGGATTGGTCAGCATGCCGCCTTATCCAACAACACCCCCCACCCCCCAGTGCTGACGCCGTCTAGCAGCAGACACGGAGCAGATGCAAGGAGAAGTTTACACCAGGGCCGGTATCCGGCACATTTTAGGTTGAACCCTGCTTCTCCCTGAGCGGAAGTGCTGCGCCCCCTGCTGTCCTGGTGGGGAATTGCTCCCCAGTCAGGAAACAAAGTGTTGGGAGCCTCGTCTGCTCCAGATGCCGTGAGCTTCTCGTTACTTCCAAACTTTAGAGCGGGGGTGGGAGCACGTTTGAGTTGTTTCTCTGCTTTAACACACCTGATTCTAATCAATCCAAGTTTATTTATAAAGCGCCAAATCACGACCAGTCGTCTCAAGGACCGTCACACAGGCCAGGTCATTAAGCCAATCAGTAAAAAGTTTCCTAAATAAGGAACTTAGCAGGTCGCATCGAGTCACTGACTAGTGTCGGTGGCTTTACAGCAATCCTCATACTAAGCAAGCATGCAGCGACAGAGGAGAGGAAAACTCCCTTTTAACAGGAAGAAACCTCCAGAGGACAAACAGGTGAATAACAGGCTTCTGGAGAGCTTTATGAGCAGGTGAGCAGACGATTCAACCATTAAAGCAGGTGTCTTGGAGTAGAGAAACAACTAAAACATGCTGGATACGAGTCCTCCAGGAACAGGATTGGCCACACCTGCTTTGGACGGACGATGGTTGAACTGATCATGTTAGAGATGACCTCGTTTCTTATCCAACAGTCCTGGTTTGCCTCAGCAGCAACGGGATGGTGACCACACCACCCAGCCTCTCCTTCCCCCCCCGCCTCCACCTCCAGCTGTTAATCAGGACAAGCTCCACCCTAAATGATGTCCTACCTGTTCCATCCAGAGCCACGGACTTGGACGGGACTGGCTTTTCTGGTCCTGACGGGGGCACGTGACTAATGAAACACAAACGCATGAGTTAGGATCGTTTCAACTTTTCCTTTAGAGCCGTCTAAACATAACTAACTAACTCAGCTCTGATGGGCTCTTACTGACAAAAGCATTAAAGATCATTAATAGATCAGCTGAAGTGATAAACAGATACTTCTGGTTCTGTCAAGAGAAGGAGACCCTACCAATCGCTCCGCGTCTTCCTGGTGCTCGTGGAGTTCAGACGCTTCTGCTGCGGCGTGGCAAACCTGAACGGCTCGAGAGGTCTCGGCCTGCTGGGGGGGGACTGAGCTGAACCCTGAGGAGAAACACCAACATCTTCAGCAGCAGCTGAGGTCCAGACATGTCCTAACCAGGCTGTAAATCAAGTGCTACATAAGGAATCATCTCATACCTGCATGTAGTCTAAGAACAACTACGTTGAGCCGTCGGGCTTTATTCCACTAAAACATATTTAGACATCTACTGAATAAATTAGCATAACTTACTATCTGAATACAATGGTAGAACATAACATTAAGACTGGAAATATTAAACTTAAAGAATAAACTGTAATAAATGAATAAATGTGTTCACTACTAATAGAAATAGGAAGCATAAGCCACACCCATCGCCTTCGCGACCATCGGTTTATGAGCCGATAAAAGTTACAACAGCCGTGGGCCAGGTGCACAGCTAGCAGCCTGACCCTGAACACCAACAACACCAAAGACGAAGGAGTCTGAGCCGATAAAAGTTAGATTCTGATCCCGTTTGCTACGCGCCGTGATGTCCGTGAATTTACAAAACACATTTTGATGTTGGGAAAGCGCCTGTTTTCAACTGGCAGCCAAACCTTTATTAGGTTTTCTGCGAAAAGACGTTTAGGACTACAAATGTTCATCTCACCAAATTTACGTCATCAAACCAGACACGGAGAAGAAAATGGTCCTGAGTTTAGCTAGCTTCTCACCCTCCTTCCAGGATGACAGAAGGTAGAAAACCACCTTAAATCTGGTTATGAGGTCATTAGCAGCTACGCCGGGGGAGAGGAGACGCTGCTGTGACGTCAGATATGACACATCTGATCCGTAGTCGTTTTATTTACCAGTTTTTTAAGCTAATAAATTATCTGACAATCAAAACACACACCATTATTTTAGGGATGCACGATCAGGTTTTTTGCTGCCGATCACCGATACCGATCACGTGGATTGGCCAGAAATTTTCTACAACCTTATAATGAGTTCTACAAACTACATAATCTGGGAATAAAGGAAATGTAACCTAATCTAAAATGGTCTGATCGGTCTGCTTTGATCTATTTTGAAAACTCCGATCAAAACCGATAGGGGCGCTATCGGCCGACTGGGATCAAATGCCGATCCATCGGTGCATCTCTACATTATTTATTATTTAAGCTGAAGTGTGTGAGATTCAAGGCGTAAGGCAAAGCAGATTAGAACATAACGTGTATAGCCCCGTCCAGGGACCCATGAGCCGACCGGAGGGGGAGGAGCCTTAGGCCGCCTAAATGACAGCTGACTTTATGCATTTAAAATGGCCGGTATTTTTATAGCACCTTCTTAGGGCTCTACAACCCCCCAAGGCTTCACAGCACAATCAGTCAACCACCCATTCACTTTGGTGATGAGCTACGATGTAGCCACAGCTGCCCTGGGGCGCACTGACAGAGGCGAGGCTGCTGAAAACCGGCGCCACCGGTCCCTCCGACCACCACCAGCAGGCAAGGCGGGTTAAGTGTCTTGCCCAAGGACACAACAGCAGCATTCTCTGGTCAGAGCCAGGATCAAACCTGCAACCTTCTGATTACTGGACAACCCGCTCAACCTCCTGAGCTGCTGCTGTCCATTATTAATCTAGACTTTTACCTCTGATGGTTCTTCTGTTTCTAACCCTGACATCAGTGGTTCTGGGTGCCCCAACACTCACCGGACTGTCCGCCGCCAGGCTGCACCCGTCCATCAGTTGCTGCATCAATCTCTCGTTTTCCGTCTTCAGAGCAAACTCCACTTCAGCCACCAGCTGCTCGTCTCCCAGTAACTCCTTCACCTCTGTATGGTTGTCCTTCATCAACACCTGGTGGAACATCAGACAAGCACACAAAGGCTTCAGACCCGCTGCAGGTGAAGGCACGTTCAGCAACCACAGAACATCTTCTCAGGAAGGTCAGCTGAGATCAGGATCTGCACATCTTTACAGCCGACTGGCTCACCTTAAGGTAATCCATGAGGTCTCGGAGGACAGGAGACCTCTTCTGCTCCAGCAGGCTCTTCAGACTAATGATTAAAGGAGCTGTGTTCATCATGAAGGCCTTCTTGTGGACCTGTGGATGGAACAGGAGGCTGCTTGGTTCGACGTGATCAGGACTTTGAAATTACCAATGTTTGTCACATCAGTGAAGGTGAGCTCACCTGGGACACTACCTTCCTCTGTGCAGCCTGCATGACGGCCTTGGCCATGGTGGCTGGGCTCTCCTCCTCCGCTTCTTCTCCTGCTTCTCCTTCAGGAGATGAAATCATCTGCAGCTTCATCTCCTTCAGACTCAAGACCTGGAACGTCTCAGACAAAATTTCTGCTCCGTCTGCATCCAGAGGCAGCTCCTCGTCTGCAAAGCATGCTGGGAAGAAAATACAACGCATGTATAGGAGCTCCTCAGACGGATGAAGCTCAGGGCCAGGGGTCTGGGGTCATGTGTGTTTTACCCAGAACGGTCAGGTTGATCTTGTTGGTGATGTTGAAGCGTTGTGCGTCGGTGAGGTTCTCCAACAGGAAGCGGTAGATCCGAAAGCGTTTGTCGTGGTGCTTAGCTCCCTTCAGCGAGAACCAAATCTTTTCTCTGTCATTAAAAAGGCAACAAACATTTCAGTTGGCCAGGAGAAGCTTTCACCTCCTCAGCGAGGTCGGAAACAACATCTAACCTCTCCGTCTGAGGGAACTTGTTGTAGGACTTGTGTTTGCCGTAGGAGTTGAAGTGAAATATGCACTCGATGAAGTGCTGGCTGAACATTTCCGGGTTCTTCTTCAGCAGCCGGTGGAGCAGGCAGTACTCACACAGGCTGGAGGAGAGAAAACAGGAGTTACTCCAAGAATCCCTCACTCCTGAACACCAGCCTGACGTTTTTACATTCAGCTCCCGCCACGTTCCACAAGTTCCTCGGACTCATCCATGATGAGTCCAACGTGTCGTTGACAGATCCAACACTCCCAGGACCAGACTGATGCGTCATGCATGTTTTCTTTTATTTAAACAGAACCACAGACCTCGAGCCCGACAGGTATTTAAACGCAGTAACTCACCTGGCAATGGTGGGAACCGGGTCAACCAGCGCCACCACAAAACGGAAGAAGAGCGATCCCTTCCATTTCACGTATTCCTCCTAAAAACATGAAATCTACAATCAGAACACATTCATCCTAAAAGGCTCCAAGAAGATAAAAGTTCAGGTTAAATCAAGATAATAATAAAAAAATAAAACAGGCAGAAATACAATAAAAGTTAACAGGAACAAAACCTGGAGTTCATTTGGTAGAGAAACTGGTAATACTAGTATTTAGTAGTACTTAGTACTTCCTACACTAGCAGGAAGGACTTCCCGTGGCGTTAAGACGGGTTTTTGCAGCGTTTCAGTTGAATTTTTATTATTAATAAAACATTTAGTGAATTATTCTTAAAAACTTTCAGGCTGGTTTGGTTCGTTTCTGAAAGCGGATTCTTCACCCGGAGGTTGTTGTTTGTTGTTTATGTTTATTTGTTTAGCAGACGCTTTTATCCAAAGCTACTTACAATTTATAACCTATAGGGCATGTTGTGATCTGTGGGGGAAACGGGAGTACCCGGAGGAAACCCACGCGTGCATGGGGAGAACACGCAACTCCACGCAGAAAGGCCGCGGCCGAGTTTCGAACCTGCAACCTTCGTGCTGCGAGGCACCAGCGCTAACCACTGCGCCACCATGCAGCCCGGAGGTCCCGGAGAACGTTGGAGAACCCAAACCCTGATCAGACGTGGCCTCTGACATCAGATGAGGCTAGAAGACCGCCCACCTGGAGCAGGTTGGTCAGCATGATGAGCGTCTGCTCCCTGATGACGGAGTTGTCGTCTCGCAGACACGCGGAGATGTTTGGGATGTAGTGAACCACCATGTTGGTGCATCGAATGCACAGATCACACATCACCATCACGATGTTGTTGCGTACAGAAACATCGGTACCGACCTCCAGCTCCCTAGCCAACACCGGCAGGTACTTTGGGATCAGGTCTTCATGCTGCAGACACAGCTTACCTGAAGAAGATCCAGACCCACAGAAGTGGGGGTCAGATGAAACAACAGCGGTTGGGTTCGAAAGCGAAAGGTGACAGGTGAGTTTACCCAGAGCGAGGACTCCGTGGGCTTTGACTCTGGTGGGCATGGAGTTCTGTTTGAACTGAGACAGAGGAAGTGATGCTGGCAGCTCCTCCTGGTATTCTGCTCATTACCAACAGAGAGACAAGGGTTAGGGGTCAGACGGAGGCCAAGGGGCGGTGCCGAGAGGATCTCTGGTACCTGCAGGTTTAACAGGAATCAGCAGAGACTCCACCAGCAGGATGGTCTTCTTGCTAACCTTTGCAGGACAGTGGAGCGACGCCACACCCAGAGTGTGGAGGTGCTTAATCTGAAACAGAAGGCCGTCAGCTCAGACGCTCACAGCTAGAAGCAGGTCAGGCATCATGTCTCACCATCAGGTTCTCATCTCCATGTTCACGGAGGATGATGCTGGTTAGGTAAGCCTCGCAGGTCGACAACAGCTCCCCACAGTGGTGATTCAGGAAGTCCTGGAGGAGAGAAAACACTCCAGCGTGAAGAGGAGGCAAAGGAAAGGTCAGCGGGAGTGTTTCCAGCCTGATACCAAACAGCACTGTGACTACCACCTCGCCTTTACGGGGAGACTGACGAATGACCAGCCTGAAGACACCTGAGGTGCTTCAAGGGGACACACCATTGTTTTAGTCCAGGCCGGGTTGATTTAATGCAGTTATTCAGACTGAAGATGCAAGAATCTGAGCTCGTTTTTCAACACTCAACCAAACCTTTTCAGATTTAAAATCTAGTAAAAGCAACAGTTTACTGCAAGCCAGACTAAATAAATGTATTATTTAGTCTGGCAATGCTCCATTGACGGTTCTCGGTTGTGGGGCGGGTTCTACCGTTGTCTTTCAAATGATCTCCGCATTCCACTGGACAATGAATGTGACATACTCTTGTTTCACTCTGCTGCATCATCCCACCCACCAGGCATATAGAGTGCCCTGATTGGCCCACAACGTGGATAAAGCTCTGTGATTTGTTCACTAAGCAGATAGAGCACTATGATTGGCCCACCATTATGGACCAATCACAGCTCTTTATGTGTTTGAAACCCCTCTAGAGACCTGTGATTGGCTAGCCAGAGTCCTGGTAGGAGCTGCGGAGGTTCCAATGGAGCATGCCTAGACTTGCAAAGCAAGAATTTGGTCTAGTTCACTAGGCTAAAGCCGGGCGTACACTGTGCGACTTTTTCACTCGCAGCGTTCAGCTTCAGCTCAAACTGTACGACTTCCTCGCAGAGCAGATCTCACGAGTCGTGTGCTCACACTGTACGACCCAGTTCTCAGATGCGACCTGACTGCTCACACTACGTCTGGTAGCAACACGTCGGCCCTAAAAATATGCTAAAAATAGCAGTTTTTACTCAACACGTCAGACTTTTTTGTCTTGCCTGTTGTTCTTCGGGAGTGCTGCAGGAGGACACACAGGGATTTATGGGGGTTGGATGAGGAAAACGAAATAAAGAAAGTGAATCTGTGTTTTGTGATCAGTTTAATTTGACATGAACACGACAAACACGCTTTCTTGACAATCTTTGTGAGTAAAAAAAAAACGTGTAGAAACAAAAACGAACAGCGTGTGTTATTAGGGAAATAGCGAGCGACCGGCGTTGATGCAGGATTGCGCGCGCA